CCGCTGCAGAAGTCACAGAGGTTCCGGAAGTCATGGAATCCGTGACTTCCGTGACAGACTGGCAGCGTTATGCATGAGTCACCTCCTGATATTTAGAGTAAAGCTGGCTTTCCTCAGAAGATTATACAGAAATTCTAACACCCTAACTGCCAGTAACAGGTCTGATTGTGACATGGCCTTAAAAGGCTGGTGGAATGCAAGAAGCCACACTGCAAGGTCTATGCAAGGACTTACCACAGCTGCAGTCCCTGAACTCACAGGGAATTGCACACCTGGCACACGGAAGGGCAGGTAGGCAGAAGGGCCGGGCCCTCCTACCCAAAGCATTGCACTTGGAGCTTGTGTTAAATTGGTTATCCACCATTACCCCATTGTCCTTTACAAGGTCCCTGCTTTCCTAGAAAGTTTCCGCTGCTAGATCTAACTTCTGCATCCTGTCAGAAATTTTGATTTCTGTACTTATTCACAAGTGAATTTTTCCTTCTGATGGGGACCTGGGAAGCATAGGTTTCAGAACTCATATAACTTCTGACATGCACAACAGTCTATTGCTATCTGGGTCATCTGTACTGACCAAATATTTGAATGATTGTGCTAAGCTTGAGCACGGGTATTCCATTATTCCTGACCACGTTTGAAATGAATTAATTTTGAAGTACTTACAGTGAATTCAGTTTGAATTCCAGCTATTTCATTGGCATAAGACCAGCCATACTGGGTCAGACCAATGGTCCAGTTAGCCCAGTATCCTGTCGTCTGCGAGTGGCCAATGCCAGATGCTTCAAAGGGAATGAATGGAACAGGGTAATCATCAAGTGCTCAATTCTCGGTCATCTAGTCCCCCCATCTGGCAGCCAGAGGCTTAGGGACACCCAGGGTATGGGGTTGCATCCCTGACCAATTTGACTAAAAGCCATTGATGGACCTGTCCTCTGTGACTTTACCGAATTCTCTTTTGAATCCAGTTATAGTTTTGGCCTTCACAGCATCCCCTGGCATCAAATTCCACAGGTTGACAGTGCGTTGTGTGAAGTGGTACTTCCTTTATGTTTGCTTTAAACCTGCTGCCTGTTAGTTTCATTAGGTGACCCCTGGTTTTGGTGTTATGTGAAGGGGTAAATAAAACGTCCTTAGTAATTTTCTCCGCACCAGTCATGATTTTATAGCTCTCTCTCGTATCCCCCCTTTGTCGTCTCTTTTCCAAACTGAACAGTCCCAGTCTTTTCAATCTCTCCTCAGACGGAAGCTGTTCCATCCCTTTAATCATTTTTGTTGCCCTTCTCTGTACCTTTTCCATTTCTAATATATCCTTTTAGAGATGGGGCAACCAGAACTGCACACACTACTCAAGAGAGGGGTGTACCATGGATTTACAGAATGGAATTGTGATATTTGCTGTCTTATTATTGATCTCTTTCCTAATGGTTCCTAAGAGTGGTAGCTTTTTTGAAAACATATACTTAATGTGCAGCACTATCCAGCAAACTCTCCACAATGACTCCAAGGTCTCTTTCTTGAGTGGTACCAGCTAATTTAGAGCCCATCATTGTGTATGTGTAGATGGGACTGTTTTCCAATAGGCATTTCTTTGCCTTTATCATCAACACTGAATTTAACCTGTCATTTTGTTACCAAGTCATGCACTATTGTAAGATCCCTTTGTAACTCTTTGCAATCACCTTTGGACATAACTATCTTGAGTATTTTCTATCATCTGCAAAAACTTTGCCTCCTCACTGTTTAACCCCCTTTTATTCCAGATCATTTATGAATATGTTGACCAGCACTGGTCCCAGTAGAGATCCCTGGGGGACCCTGGTATTTACCTCTCTCCATTCTGAAAACTGCCCTTTGTTCCTGTCTTTTAACCAGTTACTGATCCACGAGGGGACCTTCCCTGGTATCCCATGACTGCTCTCAGTTTGCTTAAGTGCCTTTGGTGAGGGACTTTGTCAAAGACTTTCTGAAAATCCAAGTACACTTGAAAAGCTATTGAAGTGTTGCCAAAGTATAAAAAAAAAAGCACAGAACCTTCAGGTCTCTGCCAGATGTAGATACAATACATTAGGCATCTACTTGGAATGGGATGTATGGGGTTTTATCTCCTGTGCCCATTTGTCATTGTTGCTCAGGTTCACGTAGGTGGCACCTTGTGACAAAGAGTGACTGCTATCCCTGCTGTCTATTTGCTTTCCCAACTCAGCTCCTTATGTAACAAGGCTTGATCCAAAGCCCATTGAAGCCAATGGGAGTTTTTCCCTTACTTGATTAGGCTCAAAGCAACCAATCAATTCTGTCTCAGGCAGCATCAACAAAACCATCACTTAGGTTCTGACTGCAGAATCTACATAACCTTTTAGCTCCAGAGGACTAGCCATTAGCAATATGTTTTTTGCATTACAAACTCGGCACATTCGATACAGAAGTAATTAAAGAGGGAATAAACGTAGAAACCCACAATGCCTTTATTACCATATCAGCTTAATGACCTAAAACTGCACTTTACAAATTTTAAAGGGGCTTTTAGCCCACCATCATTTTGTGATTCAGAACACATTATATTATGGGCACGTTTCCACGAAAATATAAAAATTATATTAGTTAAAATGTGCTGATTGTAGTGTAGACAAGGGATAATCACCAAGGAACTTCTGAAGAGTTTTAGGAGCTTAAGTCCAATGTCAAAAGTGACTTAGGATCCTCCATCTCATTGAAAGTATAGGTTCCTAAGTGACTAAGACTCCGATCTACAAAGGTATTCAGGTATCTAACTCCCCCTGAAATCAATGGGAATTAGGCACCTTTGGGGATCTGTGCCAAAGTCAATTTTGAAAATGGGGACTTAAATTTCCAGAAGTACCTTACTTAAGTCCTCAAATTAGATTGTCCTGGGTGATGGTGGTGGGAATATGGTGATAAGATCTTGTGCAGTAATTATATTGTTGAGGAGGTGGGAGGAGAGGAGAGAAAGAGAAAAAAGTGGATAACCACCAAGTAACATGAAAGCAAGTCCACTGTGCATAGAACTCCTACAGTATACAATAGGAGTTTATGCATAGCCCATTGCCAGATTGGACCCTATATGATTTCCAGGACTAATAAAAACAACTACTTCATAAATACAAGGGTGGACAAGATAGTGTCTGTCTGTTAAAATAACTGCAAATGATTCTCACCACCCCAATGGCATCAGGTTTTGTCTTTGTACACGGTCTCACAACTCTTCACCTAGTCAGTCAGGGCTCGATCCTGCAGACACTTATGCACATGTGCCTATGGCTTCAAAGGGACCGTTCACATGAGCAAAGCTGCTCACATGTGCAAGTCTTTGCTGGCCTGGCCCCATAATTAAGACGGTCTATGTGCAGCTGACAAATCCAATACATTTTAAAAGATTTTAAGCCTGAAGACGGATCACTCCAAAAAAAAAAAAATCCATAAAATGGATGAGATTGCAGCAAAATAGTAATCTGATTTTTCCTCTCTATAACATCTTTGTTAATTTATGGCCAAATACCCACTGGATCAGATATATGGTGCTCCGGAGGGGGCCTGTGGAATGCAATTGTCCTTATTCGCATTCACATCTAGCAGGCAAATGCCTTCCTGCTGTTTCCTTTACACAACAGCATCAAGCTATTTTAATCACACCAGAAATCCTTTGCTCTGCAACAATCCTGATCACGCCGGTAGAGAGCGCATTACACAGCAGTTGGCAGTAAACCTGACTTTGGCAAGGAGGGATTAACAAATACAAATGGATGGTTTGTACTCTTAGAATTGATATTTTTTCGTGGATGGAAAGAAGCCAATAAGAATTTTAAGTCCCAGAGCTTCACTTCTAGGCTAGTCAGAGTAAGCGTAAGAAAGAAAGAGCAGCATGTGTGAATATGAGAGAGAGAGAAAACACATGCATTCACATGTCAGGTGTGTGATACAGTAGAGCCATCTGAACATGCCCCTTTATCATGCCCCTTTGACTGTCTCATCTGCACTCTGCCCACTAACCCATCTTCCCTGAGCTTAGTCTAGAACGTCTCAATTTTAAAGGATCTTAACACAGCTGCCCTAATTATTATTTTCTTAAATCTTCCTTCTCCAGGTGTAGTGCTTCTGTCTCCACATTACCCTTGCTTAAGGCCCAAAATGGACAAATCACTCCAGTGCCAGGTGTGTGATCAGATATCTTGCAGCCCTGCAGAGCTAGAAACGGGAGTGCTATACAATTGGAAAAGGGAGACTTGCAGTTGTCCACTCTGACATGCGACACTTTCACCTAACCCTGGACAGTGCCAATTGCCCTTTGGAGGTATGAAATTTTTATGCACATAAAATCTATTTTAGGTCATTTTTATGTTTGTTTTTAAAAATACATTTGAGAGAGAGTATTCTCTCTCCCTCAAAGTATTTAATAACTGATTTGGGGTATAGCCCTCTACTAACCCTTTATATGTTGCATGTCTCAGACTAGGCTCTTTGGGATGTGGACAAAATCTTCCTTTTGGGTTGGACAGTGCTTAGCATGCTGTGGCCTGGATCCTGACTGTGTGCTACCACAATGCTATTAGTACTTGTAAGAAAGATGAGACAAATGCAATATACACATACATCCTGGTTATACTGGAGTCAACGGCAGAGCTCCAATTGACTTAAAAGGTCAAGGATTTAGTCTCATGGCTATAGTGGGGATGAAAGGAAAGGAAGGGAAACTGGCTGACTTACAGTGTAACACATGACGGCCCAGTTTCTGAAATTGGTAGCAAGCGGATGGACTGCTGTATCTGCATTGATCCGTGGCGAAGTCGGTGAGACTCCAGGCAGGCCCAGCATTCCATCTGTACCTTACCAATAGCAGGTCCTGGGCCATTTGGTGCATGAACAAGTATAACCCTCAGTCCTACTGGAGAACATGTACCAACATTACTCCTGTAAAACTGCCAAGAGCTGGAACCTGCATGAAAAGCTCAAAGACAATAGGAAACCCAGACCCTGTACACTACCTTCATGGGAGCAAGCTGGATGGGTGTGATACATGAAGGGTCCACCATAGGCTTCGGCCTGTTTGCAGTGTCTGCTAGCAAGCTGTGCCACTGTTGAGGTAGTCCTGTAAATTTTTGTTCTCTGTGATCAAATCCAGTGTGAACCCGGTGCTCAAAATTTGACGGTCCAGAAATTTCAAGTCTTTTCTTTTTCTTTCCAAACATGGTGGAAAAACCTGAAGGGAAGGGGAGGTGTGGGAGAACAGAAACAAGAAGTAGTTTATCTTGACACTGTCTCAAATTTTTAAATCTGTCATCATTACCTGCAGAGTATAAAACGGATGTTAGTTTTCACTGATTCAAAATTTCCAATTCCACCTCACTTACTCACATGGAGTAGTGCTTTACTCTGCACATAATCCCACTGGCATCTATTGGAGGTCTGATATGGCCCTAGTTATGGTAGGATTATGAGGTGTTCAGATACTTTCTGTATTTATCCTCAAAGTGATTAGCTATGTCATGATAATGATGATACCTAATATGAAACAGAAATAAATAGAAGAACTTGCATCTCAGAACTATAGGCCAGATGCTCAGCAAGCTTAAATCTTGGCAGGAGGACTGTTTTCACCAGCCGAGCATCAGGCCCTAATACATTCACACTTAGATTGCATCCTGCTGAAGTTAGAAGAGGGTTCATAGCTTGTCCGCCATTTCAGTAATGCAAGACAAGCAGAGATCCTGCTTCAAATTCCAGCCACCCTTCAGCATCTTCACCTATACTGGCAAAATCTCCATTCATGCAGCGCAGCTTTGCCTTTTGGAGAGAAGTGATTCCCTGTGAGAAGAGAATCATGCCTTTAATATCAAGGGCCCGACTGTGCCATTTAGACACAGCTCATAGCAAACGAAAGAGTGGAGCTGCACAGCCCTTGGGGAGCCCAGGAAACATCAGGCACACTGAGGCTGAGCACCTGCTACCACATCCCTCTGCACGAGCAGCTTGCTATCCCCGGCACGGCTGGCTAGCATGTAAAGGGGGGATTCAGAGCAGAGGCACCAAACTTTCTGATTTGCTGAAGGGTGCTCGACCCCTGCTCTGCCCAAGGCCCCACCCCAACTCCACCCCTTCCCCCAAGGCCCCACCCCCACCCTTCCCACCCCTGCTCTGCCCCCACCCTGCCTCTTCTCCCGCCCCCACTACAGATTTAGCTGCATGGTGAAGTTGGCTGTTTCCGTGATCATTGGCGCATTTGCTTTGAAGAGCACTCCGTTGGGTCATCTTGTCTACGTGCTGCACAGTGACAGGCCTGGTTTCATTATCGTTCTCCAACAATCTCCAGCACCTTTGGGATGGGAGTTTGATTTAGCCCTGCGGAACTTCAGCGATGGAGATTTTACAGCCACCCCTGGACAACTGTTCTATGGGTTGTTCTGATAATGCCTTTTGGGATATTTAACATTTTTTTTCTGCTATGATTTAATCCGCAAGAGACTGACTAATCATTCCCGGGGCTAGATTACCCCTAACCCTTCGTGGCTCTGGCCACAGCGAGCAGACGCTGCTTGCCCAGTACTTGCAAGGGATGGCCAGAGAGGGTCAAAGAGTGGGCGGCCAGATACACAGGGGAAAGATGGATAAACTGCACCCTGTAAAGGGCTGAAGTAATTTACTCCAGATCCCACAGCAAAGAGGTGCAGGGGATGAACAGCACACAGTCTGAGTCACAATTCTCACCCAGGCTACTCCCAGGGCAGGACAGCTTTCACACCACCACTTACTCGGAGCACAGCCTAATGGCTCATTCCAGCCTACAGTGTGTTCAACACCTTGGAGAAGGGCCACGTTTCTAGAGCTTTAGCCAGATTGCTGTGGAGTCATTATACCAGGGAAGAGGAAAGATTCCCAGCAGCTAGGGAGCGGGATAGGTTGGGATTTTTTTGGGAGGGGGGAAGGAAACCATTCCTGCTGCCTCATGCTGGACAAACCCTCTCTCCTCCACCTAAGTCTGTGGCCCACTTATCTCTGCTACCAGTATTCAGGGCATCTGTTGGACTGGGAAACAGCAAGACCTGAAGTATTTGGAGCAAGCACAGAGGCGGCAGCTTGAGCTAACAGGGAGGTGGGGCCAGCAGTGCTTGAAGATGGGTAGAAGTCTGGAGGACATTGGGCTCATGGGAAGCAAGTCTAGCCCTAGGCTGGGAACTGGCTGTGGGGCTGGAGGAGGGGAGGGAAACAGAGGAGAAAAAGGCAGTCTTTCTGCTGCTTGGAGACAGGATGTAAATTGGATGTTTGTCTCCAGGTCTTCTGTAAAGAGCACACAGCAGATAGGAGGATACTCCTCCATGGCCCTCTAAAGGTTAAAACCATTCCTCTTAGTTTTGTCCTCCTTGACTGGTGAGAATAAATTGATCCCCGTACTCTTTATACCTTCCCTTTACATATCTGTAGACAATTATGTCTCCTTTAAGCTTATTTTCTCCAGATAGAACAGGCCTAGTTCTTTTAACCTTTCCTCATAGGTCTTATCTTCCAAACCTTTCACCGGTTTTGTTCCTCTCTTCTGAGCTCTCTCCAATTATTCTGTCTTGTTTGAAATCAAGTGCCCTTTAGTCTCTCTCTCTCTCTACTGCTAAGATCTTACTTACAGTCATTTTTAGCTTCCTTTTGTGAAGTCTTATCACTCTGGTCCCCTCATCCTTTCCCATTCTTACATTCTGATCTCTTATTTTGTTTCCACTGGTGCCTAAGTATAAACCTGCACTCTCCAAGTTTTCAGCCATTGCTTCATTTCTGGGAAGTATCAAATTAAAAAACAAAAACAAAACAGAAACACAATAACAAACAGGAGCCCATGTCAGTGGAATCCTAATGACAGCAGGAGCAGGCTACCTGGATCCACCTGTCAGCTCTTATTTTATCTTTAGAGAGAGAGTAAGCTCTTTGGGGCAGGAACCATCCTTTTGCTCTGTGTATTTGCAGTGCCTAGCACAAGGCTGTCCTGGTCAATGACTCCAGCTTCCAGGTGCTACAATAACACAAATATTTTTATCCTAACCCATGGTTTTGGGTTGACATTTCCCATTTTTGGTTTTTAGCCCCTGGCAATTTTTTAAAAGTTTAAACAAAAGTCATCCCAATATTGCTAGCCTCTAGCATTCAAAAAAACAAAAATAGCCCCCCCCAGTCAGCTCCTCCCCCGAAACACTAATAGCTTAAAAATCTCAAGATTTTAAAAAATAAAATAAATTGGGGTTCGTTTTCTTTGATGGTTGAAGCTTTCAAATGCACTTGAATAATGGTTTTAAGCTTTTCTCTGAAACCCTCTGGGCTAGAAACGTACTTATCTTTAAAAATCAAAGCTGAGATTCTCAGGTGTTCACATGATTCCAAGACCTGGGGCTTTAAGAAGGACAACTACCATAAGACTTGCAATAAAATCATGAGTTGGCAACACTGCAGTGCCCTCCATTTTGAGTACAAGAGAACCTCATAAAAAAAGATATCGCAGCTAGAACTGTGTGGGAACTGGATTTCCCTTTTATACATGAAATTTAAAAAAAATTCCATTCTGAAATGGAACAAACAAAGAACAACAACAAAATCAAAAAAGTAATTGAACTTCCTCTGAAACAAGATTCAGAACAAACCCGAGAAGTGTCAGGTTGATCAAAACATTTTGTTTTGATTAAATTTTAACATTTCATTCTGATTTTGACTTTATTTTGTTTACACATATATTTCATTCCCGTTTTTGTTTAAAATGTTTTGAAACAAAAAAGTTTGAATATTTCATTCTGAAAACATAAAAAATTGAACTGCACAACTTGAAACCCCAAATTTAGCCTAGCTATAAATCCACCAAAAATTATGGTCTCCATCATAAAGCCTGTATATTTGGGCATTATGCAAAATATTAATTGTTACCTAATTTTGTGTTCTCTCTGAGAAGCCAGGAAAGATTACTGAGCAATTTAAAAAAAAAAGGGGGGACGGACTTTTTTTTAAACAACAAAAGGAGCTTTGCTTTCCAGGATGAAGAAGCTCTGCTGGCCAATAAATGGACCATATATTTCTTTCTTATTTATTCTCTAGAGCTACTCAAGGCTCTGATCAGTTCCATAATATGGAATTCTCTGGCTTGGAATGCCCTAACCGGGTGCTCTTTAAGGGCTTGTCTTCATTATGGAGCTAAATCGACGCTGCTGCAATCGATGCAGCGGCATCGTTTTAGCAAGTCTAGTGAAGACCAGCTCAACTGATGGGAGAACGCTCTCCCATCGATTTCTGTGCTTCCGCCTCTCATTGAGGTGGAGTAATGTCAGCAGAAGAGTGTCTCCCATCGACACAGCGTAGCGTGGATCCCACGGTAAGTAGATCTAAGCTACGTCGACTCAAGTTATATTGCTAACGTAACTCACATTGCACAGCTTAGATCGACCGGAAGCTGTAGTGCAGACCAGACCTAAGAGTCTGGTGGAAATGAGTCCCTCTTTTGACAGATTTATGAAGTACAATGGCAAGAGTTCTTCCTCTCCTGTGCAGGTTTCTTCCCTAGCTACAAAGGAACTCGGCCACATTACAGCAGGGCTCAAGCCCTTTGCACCTTCAGTTCTTCAGCCATAAGCGTATCGACCAATTTGCAGCAATATATTTCCCCTACGTTTTTGCCCTTGTAACTAAATTAGCCAGACACACAGAAGGGTAAATGCTGCTTTACGTGTACTTAGTGACCATATCTGTGCATGCTCAGTAGGTGACTTTCACAGAAGCATAACTCTGATAAAAGAAAATATTCTCTTGAAAAAATAAAGGCTCTTTTCCTGGCTGAGGGCTATATCCATGCCACATTTTAACTTTCTACCTCCAGCCATTTCAGCTATCGTGTGACTCAAAAATCATGTTGTTAGAGCTGATCAAAAATTTTCCAATGGAACTTCTGTCTGGGAGAATACTATCTTGTTGAAATCTAAGTTTCATGGAAACCAGTCTATTTTGACTATTTTAAACTGAGTGTTCTGATTGGATTACATGCATGAGGTGTGCAAGTACATTTTATCATGTGAACACTGACTTTTCTAGCAGGATTCTCAGGGAGTATCAACTGATGTGAATTTTTCAGATAATGCGAGAGGCTGCATGTACTCTTTCTATTTTGAAATACCCCAGCTTTCCTTTGTAGGAAATCACATGCAAACCTGTACCAGCTTGCCTCCATGTGTAGAAACCAAT